TAGGTACTATAAAATATTTGTCTTAAATGTTTTATTTTAAAACCATCATCCTTGAGGATTTAGAAAATTCATTTAAAATACATTCAGTATCCATATTTTTTGTTACATCTTTCTCTATATGTAGAATAGAAAGATTTGTAAATCGTTCTTGATACATAGAAGTTCTCAGCCACGTCTTTATTCTTCGCATAGCCGAAAAAGAAAATAACAACCGACAAGTTACGTAGTTACGTTATTCAACACGACAACACGACGTACTATTCACAATTGACTAACAAAACATTGCTACCCCTCACACAGTTACAGGCAGCTACGGAAACGGGCCACTCGCCAACATAATTGACGCAAAAGACGACAGTTTTGGATTTCCCTAATATTAATTTTTACACGAAAGATATAAGAACACGGTGTCACGGACCACGATACCTCAATAAACTGTTGCAAATAGTTAATAACAATTTAACGGAAATCATATCATCATTCAACAGTGCTATGTATGTGTTCTAAATTATTTATATACAGAGTGATCTAACGGGTGTCACCTTGTATAGGTATATAATATAATGAAAATTGTCTCAACATTTTTAACTGAAATGTACAATATATATTTAAAAAAATGTTTCTTAATATTTTTTACTGAACTGTACAATATTTTTATAATATGGCAAACATTTTAGAGGGGGCTTTGCGGCTATCAGGGGGGGGGCAAAGCCCCCCCAAGCCCCCCGGATATCCTCCAATGTATAGTGCATATTTTTAAATTTTAAATGCATATAAATCGTTTTTTCCTGGAACTCAAATTACCTACTACCTTATTTTTTCTGGGACTCAACTTACCTACTACCTATTTTTCGCCGGGACTCAATTTACCGAGTTAGGGTCATTTGGGACTCAATTTACCAACCCCGAAATTGTGAGTGGGTCGTTTAAATTTTTTAAATCGGTAAAAATAAATTTACAAAAATTATAAATTAATACAATAATATCGATTTTTACTTTTTTTCTTATCCGGGGCTGGATAAAATTGGTCAGCTGACCGCCATTTGGACACCCCTGCACTGTGCCTGGGCGATTCAAATACGCAAACACAGCTAAATTCAAGCAAATTAATAGCAAAAATATACGTCTGTTGAYGCATTTCAATCCTATTGAAAGTTTAGATCATGATACATTAATTTTATCATGGTTTAGATGACAATTTTGATGTTTTCATAGCATTCATGGTTTCAATATTTATGCCTCTATTACTTTGCACCACATGGGCCAACGCTTAAATAAGGTTATTGGAAATAGGCCTATTCCCTTTACGTCTATACTGGTACCTATCAATAAAATGGCTTTGCTTTGCATATTTAGTAGTTTGAAGTTGGGTCGGCATGAAGAAACCCAGCCCTATAAGCTATAAACCTCGAACTTCTCGAATTCTTGATTGATATTATGTGATTAATGATTATGTCATTTGACTGTTTGAATTTTGAATTTGAGGTTACTGTTGTCTGTTTCATATAATTTGTGGTTCGATGGTTTTTATCACGACTAAGCCCATCGACAAAAATTTTAATTTATTATCAGAGCATCATGCATTGTCACATTGATGACTGATGTAATCTGTAGACTACGGACCAAGATATTTAGAATTAAGATAATAATATATTACTTGTGAATCAGACTTCCAAATATTTTAATCAATTATATTTTATTATATTGTTTTCAAACTATATTTTCAATGTTTTCATTGTTTTCAACAGTTTATAATGTTGACGTAAATGATTTGTATTAACTATACCGTGTGATTTATTTCAAATGGTCACAACTTGTTCAGTTAAAGGCTGTAAATCCAAAGCTGGCCAAGGGATTAAGTTTCACAGGTATTTTATTTGCAAAATGTTGATCTCACTTTTTGATAAGTTCAAAAAATTTGGTAGCGCTGTGTACCTAGAGGTAGATGCTTGTCACATGTTTTCTTTATTTGTTAACTCATATGATGTTCTTCAAAATTAGACTTCCTAAAGGCGAAATTCGAGAATTATGGATTACATTCCTCAAGAAATACAATCCTCTGTTCATGCCAACAAGTCGTAGCACCAATGTTTGTGGGCTACATTTTTTATCTGATTTGGACTATGAAGTTACACCTACCAGCATTTATCAAACTAAGCGTTTAAAAAAAAATGCTGTACCTAGTATTATGAACCAAAGTAAGTTATTTATAAGTGTACTTGATTTTCAGGAATTAAAATAAAATATTTATAAACTATGTTTAGATGTCTGTATATCATTATTTAATAAGTCGAATCAGGAATTGAACTGTGTTCCTGATCATGAAATTGTGACATTATCATTGTCAGATTTATACGCTGAACCCAATGTACCACCTAATATACCTTGTATGCTATACAACATTATTTTATATATAAAATTAAGTACCTACTATAATTTGATTACGTATTTATATTGTTTCAGTTGACATATTAATAAAAAATATTGTATTGTCAAAACCCTCTATTCAAAATGTAAGTACAGTTTCACCTGCGCCTGTTATTCAAAATAAAGTCGAAATTCCAAGTGTACTTGTTTCTGTTCAAAATGCAAGTATAGATTCACCTGCACCCGTTATTCAAAGTAGAAATGAAACTCCAAATATACAAAGCACAAGTGAAGAAAATTTACGAAGACTAAATAAGTCAGTTGTATAGAATCATATTATATATTTTTGTTTTCATGATGCTTAATTATTTAATTGTTTTAGTAAAAGAAAGTGTTTTATGGGCGATTTTAAACAACTAAGTGATATAGATAGYCCGAATAGTAGATTAAAATATTGGATTGCTTCTCAGTCAACTGTAAATAAACAAAACAAAAAAATTAAGTTATTATATAAACAAACAGCAGAATTGAAAAAAAAAGTTAAGAAATTAGACAATTTAATAGATCAACTAAAAAGTGAAAGAAAAAAGGATTCAAACAATTGCATTACAGTTCTTAAGGTATATAATATATGGTATAAATGTATATTGTTCACTTCTTACCTAATTGTATTAATGCTAATACATTTTTCAAAATATTTAGGAATTAATATTATCATCGAGTCAACATGAAATTTATATGTCTATGTGTAAACCAATTTGATGTTTTATCAGTTTATTTAAAGCACAAGACTAAGGGAAATTCAAATCTGTAAATATGACTATACTATACAAAAATTGTCCGTAACATCTTCAAAATCATTGTTTAACGGGAGGTGGGAAATTACAAATAAATGTATAATGTAATATTCAACAAAATTACATGTTTATAACTTTATTTTAAAAYCAATAAAAACACCATAAAGAGACATTACTTTGATTATAATATCATGTTTGTATTATACACATTAAAGTGTACTGTATAATGTAATGTATAATTTAGTATCATGTTAAATTGTAACTGTTGAGCTACCATAGTCTATACTAGATGCTAATAAAAAAGTATACTATACTAAATAAAAAATATATTACAATTAATTCCTTTTTTTTTTTTTAAGATTCTATCAATCAATCTCTATGAAGATTTCAATAGATGGGACTGATATGGTTGTTCACACTATTTCTATTTCCTTTTTATCCTCATAGAAGTCAACAAGAATATTTTGGTAAGGTTTCAGTGGCATATTAATGGAGTGGGATATGATAAATAAATCTCTATAGCATTTTCAAAAAAAATTCTAATCCTCGCATTTGGTTATAAAATATTTCTAGATTTTCAATTAAAAATGAATAGATCACGGTTAACTATTATCACAGTTAAAAGATRAAACTAATAAAAACTTAAACTTAAACTTCTGATATAATTTTTAACTTCCTAAATCTAACACTTTTTTAGTATAAACACTGAATACAGAGCCATAGCTGGAACAAATTTTCCGTGGGGGGGGGTTAATTAAATAATATTTTAATTTTAAGTAATTAAAAAAACACTTATTTAAAAAAATCACATTTTACTATGTTAATCCATTATAATTATTTTAAAGTAAATTTATATTATATACAATTCTTTATATCTCAATATTTTATAACACAAAATCTACAGACAATATCATGGAGTTTTTTGAGATAAATTGACAATTGACAATACAATCGATAATTTATTGTTCGATTATATATTAAGTATTTATAGACGTTTCGTCATTCGACAAAACGTATTCAATCTTGTACGTCTTATCTATGTATAATATAATAATATTATATTGCCTATATTATAGAAATCGCCATAAAACATAGTTATTATATTATTAGGTACCCAAATGGCTACATGGTAAATTATTATAATTAAGTTACTTATATAAATTAAATTAATTAATTGTAAAATATTTCGGTGAGAGTGGGTTGAACAGAATCATCAATAAGGCACTGTAAGGTTTAGAATACCATACAACCAAATGGACATTTATATATTATGATACCGATACAGTAGAAGCTAAGTAGCTTAGGAACACGGTTAGTCGATTCAATCACATTATTCAAATAAATTGTCCCAGGACGGACTAACTGTAAATTAGAACGTTGAAAATAAACTGGATTATTAAATCATCCCATCAGTTATTTGAAACAATTAGACTAAGGTCAGTTGACATATATACCAGTTATCTGTCAGTAATCAATGTACTTTAATCTTTACTGTTGTTATGTTTATTTTTACTATACCTATGCAAGTAAACAAACATTGATAGGTACATATTTTAAATAATATGGTATAATATATACATACATACTTTTTTTAATTATTCATGCATAGTTAAAAACATATTAAATACAAAATTTTTTTCATAGTAAAAACCAATTGCTTATTAGAATTAAAGGGTTAATTAACACATTTCATCTTGGTCCCAGTGTTCCTAATATTCTTATATTGTACTTAAGTCATTTTATTTATAAAATTTGTATTTTATACAAATTCTTGTTTATAGATATTAGATATTGAATTTTAGTATATGCCATTTTATGTGACATGTTTTATTTAAATGTGTAGGGTCCAATAGATAATTTAAGAAATTATAAAGCTTTCTATATTGGTTTTAAGGTTATGTAGCATTGTATTCTTACCCTTGTACATTTAAAGTTTTTTTTTTTGTATGGCGCTATGTCCAGGAGTAGGCCCGAAGGCCTAGTTCGGACGCCTGTTTGGCAGAATTTCTATTGGGGCACCCGTAGGTTTCTGCCATGCCCCGAAGTGGGGGATGGCGGCACTTGTTCTCCGGACACCATGACTTGCCCGGAGAAAAATGCCGCCCGATGGTCGAGAATTGAACCCGGTCTGGCTGAGCCACAGCCGACGCGTTAAACCACTCGGCCACCTCGTCCCCCTACATTTGAAGTGTAGAGCAATAATTGTTTTATCCRGAAAATGATTTGTAAGAATTAAAGACTTAAATTAAAATTATAAATACAAATACATCTTATACATCCAACTCAACATAAATTGTGTGTAATATAATAGTTAACCTTACTACAAAATACCTATCTTGAAGAATTTTTTTTCATTGCATTGCTTTGATTAATTTATATAAAATAAATAAATAAAATCTATAATATGTATTGGTTCAAATCTTATCATATTGAAATGATTGTACATTTAAAAATATATTTAATTGCAGGTGTCTTATTAACCAGACAAATGGTTAGCAGCTACATTTTCTTTTGTATCAAGTGGTACTTGTCTTACACATTTGATTCTATTGATGGAGAATACGTGGAATGTAGTTCAGCCTAACATAATATTTTCTGCAAATACCAGAATAATTAATGCAGTATTGTTACAACATAGGTTATAAGATAAAAAATATATACAAACATATAATATATAAAGAAATCCTTTTATTTTTGTCTTTATGATGTATTGAAATAATTTAATTTTTGAACTCTGAGCATATTTTCTCGATCAGTATCTTTGTATACCAAAAGTCTTAGAATTCAAAGTACAACCCATAATGGCCATGTCATTGAACAAATTTATTCACTCAACCGTACAATTTTTCATATAATTATAAATATCCTAACCTTTAATGTCATTAATGGTGGCTTGAACACCGTAGGCTATGACTATTACGGTTCTTTATTGTATATTAGGTAGAAAGATACTGAGAGATTTGAGTGTTCTGATTCTGAGTTTTATTAATATTGCTTAAAATTTTCTGGATATTTTGATAGGAGATATTGAATTGTTAGTGTTATGCAGGGTTGGACTAGCTCAAACAAATGGCCCGGGAAATTTATTAACATTTAACATATACAAAGGCCCCCTTATTACCGGTCCCAATTAGCCTACTGCAGCCCCCATAGGCTCATTTTCATGGCGGCCTACCAGAAAAATCCCGGTGTCCCGGTG